GAATTTTTTAAAATAATTTTTTTGTATGGGCTAAAATTTGTTACATATTTAGATAAAATCCTATTATCAAAAAATAATATTTTATATCTAATTAATTAAAACTTAAAAAAATCATTCGCCAATTTTGCTTGCGTGGCATTTGAATTATTTAATTTTAAAAGAAAATAATAATCTCTTATCTAATTGGTTACAAGTAAAATTTATAATCTTACATGGCGCGCTAAGAAAATTAAATTCTACGTGACTCTCTAAAATCTCGGGAAAAAAACTCCCCTTTATATATATATATACTAGTTTTGTACCTGTTCACCCTTATATGTTTTGATGATGACTGAAGCAAACTTACATATTTTAACAAGTGTCTTTAAGTATTGTAAATCTTAGATTTCGAGGAGGAAACTGAAGTATGTGATGATGTACCAGAGGAGGAACGAGCATACTAGAGGACAAAGGAAACTTAAGACTAAGCGAGAAGTTAAAATCAAGAAAGCAGGACATTAGTTCCCCGAGGGAACTAAAGAATGGAAGCTTCAGAGTCGAAGATTCCTTAGAGAAAGCAAGGAGTTTAAAAGTTAATAGGTTATCTTTTTAGCTTCTTGTATGTATAAATTATATTGACATAAGTAAGATTCAAGTGAAATAGTTATCTTATTAATTATATTTTCCTAAAATCCTATTAGATATTATTCAAGTAAATAATTATCTTTTGGAAAATATCATTTGAAGGAAATATCTTTTATAAATATCTTTTAACTGATTTGGTTTTTATTTGAGAAAAAGATTTTTTATGGAAAATATTTTTACGTGGGTTTTAATTAGTCAAATTAGTTGAGAAAATTAAGGAAGCAATAAAAGAGTTTGAAAAAATCATGGGTTAGTTGCGTTCTCTTGCAGAACTAGTATTTCACTTCTACGTGCTCCTCAAGTTGAGGAACATGGAGTTAGTGGCACACGCTAACTGATGAGTGGATGCATTTCTAACTCTATAAATAACGCTTTCTTCAGTTTGCAAAAACACACTTGAGCATTCTAGCATATTTATTCTTACTTATTCCACTTGAATCTAAAAGTGTCTTTGTGATTTATATTAGAGTTTAATTCTTTGAGTTGTAATTTGGGGTAAGAGTTTGAGTGAACTCTAGAGTGTTTATTGCTTTGAGTGAAGCAAGGAGAAAGAGAGAGTTTTTGAGCGTTCAACTGATTGAGGGATCGGTTGAAGGGGAACTCAAGTTTGTTGAGGAACTTGAGTTAGAGTCTTAGATTGTAATAGGTTGTTTGTGTAATACCCCGTATTTTCATACGTATTTTCTAATTAATTAAGAATTATTTTATAAAAAGGGTATTTTAGTAAATTCATTATTTGGAGCCAAAATAATATTTGAATTTTCGCACCAAATATAAGTATTTAATCATTTGAATAATTAATTATTTTCGGATTTCTAAATTAATAATATAGGTTTAATTATCTTTTTTAAGGTCGGTCCATATTTTATTATAATAACTATTTCAAGAGAAATATCTAATATATATTATGTATTTAACTAATTTTATATTATCTAAAATATTTATTTATTCAATTATTTTATTATTATTTTTGTTTTTATATTAATAACAAATGGTGAAACGTGATTTGATCATGTTTTGAAGAGTGATTGTTATCACTTTAGTTTGTTAATTATTAAATTTTAAATTAACCTCTAATTCTCTTATTCATTGTCTCATTTTGTTCCTATCTTTCTTCTCCCAACCATATGTATATCTATCTAAATTTTCTTATCTTTTAACGCAACTATTAATCTAGACTTAATTTAATTCAAGTACCTTAGCTTAACAACCCCAAAAACTTATCACATTTTCTAGTAATCATATCACACCTTAATCTCTATCCTTTCTACACCCTCAACACTATAAATAGACCCTTAATTCTTCCCATTCATTCACACCAATTCTCTACTTTTCTTCTCCTCTTTTTACACAAATCATCCCGTTCATCTTTGAAGCCAATTTTCGGGCACTTCTGGTCAGTTTTGGGGTATTGACGTTTCACAGAAAATTGTTCCTCACAAAAAATCCTTGAGGTTTAGGCTCAAGAATTACCCAATTCGGAGTTATATTGAAGGAGTTATAGCCTCTGCAAGTTCTGCCTATTCTTTCCAACGCAAATCCAATTCTTCTCTTTTCCTTGGTTTCTTATCTTTTCTTATTCTCTTCTCTTATTCAACTATTATTATTATTATTATTATTATTATTATTATTATTATTATTATTATTATTATTATTATTATTTATTATTATTATGGGGGATTTATAAATAATTTTTATGAGTAGTTTTAATCATATAAAATCAGATTTTTAATAATATTTATGTCGAAAGGCTCATGTACATATAGTTGGGTGGTTTTAATTTAATTATTTGTGAACCTTATATTGATTAAGGTTATATTTATTTGTAGGGAGTGTTCAATCAAGGTTCTTGAGGTTCTTTTTGTGTGGTTTTTCTAGCAAGGATCAGGTACGTTTAGGTGGCTAGATATCTTTGAAAGTAATTGGTTTGAATAACATGTTTTGCATGATTTTGATTGGTGATTGAATTAAATTAATTTTTGAAATAAATATGTTTGAAGGTATTTATTTTAATAAAAGTATTTGAATGATTGATTTTTAAATCATGTTTTGAATGGTTTGGATTACTTATCGTGTTTAATTAATATTAGGAACTATTGGATATTAAAAGGATTTATTGAACCATTGAATTATTATTATTAATGTTTTACAAGCATGTTAGTAATCCCACTATGCGGATTTGGTTTATTGATAAGACCTTAGACTTTGTATGACCGGATTTTTCCTCAAGAATAGCCTTGTAATATAATGAGACTAGCTTGGGGGGTGTGCACACTTAGGTGAGGAATTGGATTAAAAGGAATTGGTTCTTAATAAAGGAATTGGTTTTATTAACTATTATTTTGAATATTGAATCATTGGAATCGGTTTTGGAATAATGAGTTTTGAATTTATTGGATTAATTATTGGAATTGGTTTTAAAAACATGTTTGCAAATAAATTGAGTTTACACTATCTTGCACTTATCGTATTTAGCATATTTTGCTAATCTGTATTTCTTATTTGTTTTGGTTCGCCCTATTTACCGTACTGGTAAGCAGTGTTGACTATTTTCAGGTGGAGTCATCAATGAGCATATGGGAGTCCAGGGATTTGCTTCACCTAGTTTAGGAATGTTGGTCTTGTCTTTATTTTTGAGCAATCATAACAATGTTACAATCTTTATAAGTATTAATAAAAGAAAATTGAGTTTCCGCTGCAAGTTTTGTAGTTGAGTTAAGTATTTTGAGTAGGCTTGCGTAATCACGCGGCGGTAATACGCCCAAGTCTATCTTTATGGTATAATTATACGTATTATACTAGTATTTCCGTAGAGGGAGATTTGGGGGTGTTACAGTTTGCCCTATTATAATTAAGAGTTGAGTTTTAAAACCCCTTGTGGTCGTGCTTCTTCTTCTTGATTAGGGCCAAGAATTTTTCCAGGTAAAATATCTCTGTGAACTTTAAGTTTTTTGCTTAGTTTCTCTATACATTCCGCAAAAATTACCCTACTTCCCCTACAATACAATTCACCCCCCTCTTGTATTGTTCGTTCGAGTCAACAGTGCACGTGCGATGCTCGGGTTGTTTAATTAATTTTAAAATAAATTTTTAATTTATATATCAAAATTCAAAAATATATCGTTGATACAAAACTTGTTGGGAATTAATGTGCTTTGGTGACGATTTGCTATCTATTAAGCATGTAATGACTAATAATAATGTTGGTGGAAATGTTCGATTTAACACATTAAAAAACAAAAAATTAGCAAAAGCATATTAGGTTAACCCAAACCTAAAACTTTGAGCAAGGGTTGAACATTTCTTGACTCGTAACCTGAAGTGACCCTATCCGAGATGACTCATGATCCGACTCAGGTCTACATAGTAATAACATCCTATTAGATTGTGAAGTATATTATTTTAACTGATTAGTATATATCTAAATGTATGTTTTACATTTTGAACTATTTCTTCGCTCCAAAAAATATAATGATATAAAAATTAAATTTATATGAGAATTTTTTAGAATTATAATCTATTAATTTTTTTGAATAAAATTATAATTCAATTTGTTCATTTGAGATATTGGTATTTTATCGAAAATAAAACTCTAAACGTACTAACAATGTTATTCTAAAATTATATCCAAATAGAATTTAAATTTATGAAGTTTATTTAAATTTATCCAACGTGGCGCGACACTTGGCAGAAAGTTGAAATGCCAAGCGTCACTACCTCGTGATCTGGCTAAAAGTTTAGCTTTATACATTAGTTATATGATTAAATTGCTCAAACCTTTACGCGTATTCAAAATCTCACTTGTCCCAACTTCCCAATAATCCATTCTTAAATGTGATAGCTACTTTATGTATACAACCGCTAGTCCACTACTCCACTACTAATCACATCTTTAGAGTTCTATATGCTAAAACTATATAATTGATTCACTTACTTTAGTTTTATACTCAGCTCCTTAGCAAACATATTAGTTTAATTCAGTTTTTAAGATAGAACTACAATTTTTAGTATTGAAGTATTGAAGTTGTTAGAGACATGAAACATAATCGATTTTGGAATATATATTAGACTTAAATGGAACCTAAGCTATTATAGCCTTTATAGGTTGTAAATTGAATGAAACCTTTTAATTGATTTTTTAATACTAATTCATGTAATTTAACTTGTGATTATAAATTTAATTGATTTCGTAATATATACTTGTATAATGTAACTTTTTTGAAAACATAAGCTACTAGATGTGTGATTTAACCTTATCGTAGGATAGTTGATTGAACCTTTATAACTATTACACCTAAAACTTTATTTGTTTCTTGATGAAGAGAACACAACAATTGAAAATAATGAATCTTAAAAATAATTCAATGAAGCAAAACAATCCTAAACACTGTGATTAGTTCTTCAATGAGACAATAAACATAGTGCTAAAACATTAAACAAACAAATGTAAACAAATGTAAATAAACATAGCGAGTAACTAAACTAATTAGAAACAATAATTTTGGAATTTGGTAGATGGAGTTGTTCTTAATTGCTTCCATTGCTGCTTGAGTTTTACTTGAAAGCCCATTGATTCTCTTTGCGAACTTCTTCCTCTTCTTCGGGTGTGAAATCGTTCTTGATGTGGAAGGTCTTCCTTATCTCCTCGGGTGTCTTTCCCTTGATCATATCAGCCACACATTGACAAGTTAAATCCAGCAAACTCTTGATATCCATGTAATTAGCAGCCTGCATAACATCATCATATCACACATGATTAATTTAGGTATAGTTGATCAATCAACCACGCAAATGTATATTAACAGTCAATTTTATTTTTTTGTAAAAGAATTTAAGCCCAAAAAATTAGAAACACTAACTAGATTACTCCGTATATTATAAGGATTTTGTAACAACCCTTGAACCATGTTAACAAACAATTCATACATAACGATACGTCTAATTAAAAAAGTTTGGGTGCAATATTACGTATAATGCGATTGCAAAATACAAGTGTCAAACTATTATCATATTATCAAAAATTATGATAAGATACAATTACGTCCTAAAGAGATCTATAATCATATTATATGATAAAATTACATAACTAACTAAAATAATCCAAAGATTCCAAAGAACTCGTATGCTCATCGTATTCATATGGAGCACCCAAACAGACCAGAACTCAAAATTCAATAGAATTTAATCTTACAAAATTTAATCAAAATTATTTTATTTGTGAAATGAATAATTCAAGCTCAAAATTGGCAACACTAATTAGATTTTTATACGGACAAGAAAAGATTAAGGTACTCGAATTATTATACTTTCAATATTCAAACCCTAAAAAGTTAAAACTCAAAGCCCTAAATTTCACAATAATTAATCATAATATTTAGCTTATACTATTATATGTACTTCCAAATCCCAAGCCCAAAAAAATGGATAAGTGTAATATACAGCTATACTAAAAAAAATAAAACAAACGAAAGAAGATCGAAAAAAATAAATAAATACTTACAAGAATAAGATCAAAGAGGGTGTCTTGGTCGACATTGAGGAAGTCCTTATCCCACTGCTTGAGTTCATCATTATTAGATGATTCGGAGTTATCATCATTAGCGTGTTTGTTGCAATACTCGATAACCTTAGCGAGAATTTTAGAGGTGACATTATGCAGCGGGATGGGATCGGTGCTGTCGCCGAGGTCCTCGATCATGTTCTTGATGGTTTGAGAAAGCATTGCTGCCTTTTCGTCGACGTTGAAAGTGTCTTTATCGGAACTCCTTAGGGTTACCTTCTTGTTCGAAGATGAAGAAGAGGTTGATGCTGCCATTGCTAATTAAGTAATTAGGTTGACTGTTTTAAGGTTCAGAAAAGCTAAGAGATTTGAGAGAGAGAGAGAATTTTTGTTGGGAGTATGAAAGAATATGAATTAATGATGAGGCTTTGGGAAGACTTCGTTGGTATTTATAGATTATTTATTTATTATTATTATTTTTTTTTAACTAAATTCTAGTTGAATTATGCTTTTTTTTTTTACACGATTATTTTATAATTTTTTTATAATGTTTGCCAATGAGGTGAGTAAAATCACACAAACCGACCTTTTTTTTTTTGGAAGTCTTTATCCTTTTGTTTTGGAAACTAATGTATTTTTGTAACCAAAAAATTATACTCTGATCTTTATATCTTAAATTTCCAAATTTATAAATTTATTTTTGAGATAATTTACACCTTATCATCGTTATTGTTACTAGAATGTTATTTGGAAAGTTAAATAATTTTAGATATTGGGATTCAGTTTGAGGGAAAAAAAAATTAGTCAGGTAAATTTATTTTTGACCATTACAAAAATTAAACAAGGTGTATAAGAAAGGTATAAAGACTAGAATAGACCCGGTCTACAATAACTTATTGTAGACCCAACCTTTCAGTATACCATATAAATGTGATTATATCATATGATGTATCATATGAAATGTGATTATATTATTACAAAAGTGATTATATCATCTTGAAACTGTTATTTATATGTATCACTCAAAAAGTGAATTTATCGTTATAAAAAGTATCAAATAGTAAATTACATCATTCAAAAATGATTTTTAAATTTTATCATTCTAAAGATAATTATACAATATCATTAAATGGTTTAATATGAGATCAAAATATGACTCACAAAAAGATAATTATATCATCTAAAAAAGTGATTATATCATCCACAATGTGATTATATTATTTGAAAGTGTCAAATTTTTTGTCTACAATAATTTATTGTAGACCGTGTCCCTACAAGAACAATTGTAAAAAAGGTTTTGTAAAATTGAATAATTAGGGTTTAATGAAAGAAGAATACACTTTGATAATCCCAACTTTGCTCAATTTACTTTAAATAATCCCTACTTTCGATAATTCTGCAATGATCCCAACTTTCATATGTGTTTTCTTTCTTCAATCCGGATTACTGGTTACCGGAAGAAAGGGTCAATATTTTAGAGAAAAAAAATTATATGTCACGTGTTGATTTCTAATTGGTTCAAAAAATAAATAAATAAATTTAAATTAATAAGATTTTAAAAAAAAAAAAAAAAACAAAGACCACCAGCCATCCTGCGCTAGTGGCCACACTTCCCCTACCGGCAAGACCCATAGCCAAGCCACCGACTACGAAACCTAGCCACCACGAACACCCACCACCCACGAATCCCGGCCCGACCACCCCCGAAATGCCGATCTCATTTACAAAACCCACCAACCCCAAAATCCCAACCAACCCACAAAACTCAAACACCTATACCCACGACTCCGATCTCCCACGAACCCCGACCATCCACGAAACCCAAACCCCCACTTTTTCGACCTACCGGAAACCATCCCCTCACCGAAAACCTTATCGTCACTCCTTTTGATTACGATTTCCGGCGACTATAGGAGAGAGAAAGGGTTGCGTTTTTGTATTTCGGGGAAAGGGGAGGTGATTTCGATGGTCAGGGTTGGTGTGACAAGTGGTTTCGGGGGTTGGGGGAGGGGATAGGGACAGTTTCAGGGATGTGGGCTTTGGTTATGGTTGTTTTGAGTTTTACGGGCGGCGGTTTCGACGCAAGAGTTTTGGCTATAGCTAGTTTAGGGGGTGGGGAGAGGTATAGGGGTCGGTTTCGCGGTGTAACGGCGGTTTCTAGGAAGTTTTTGGTGGCCGGGGTAAGGGAGGTGGTGGTTCGGGGTTGTCTGTGGATGGAATTGGCCACCGCCGGTGGTTGGTGGTTGTGGGTTGGCCGGTGGTGGCTAGTTTTTTTTATTATTATTGATTTTTTCTTTAATTTTTAATTATACTTTTTTGGACCACTTACGACTTATTGACACGTGTCAAGTGACCTAGAATTTTAGGTCATTGACTTTGTTGACCGGTTTGGGATTGAAGAAAAAAAAAAAGCATGTGAAAGTTGGGATCATTGTAGAATAATCGAAAGTTGGGATTATTTAAAGTAAATTGAGCAAAGTTGGGATTATTAAAGTGTATTTTTTCCTTTAATGAATTGTGGTAAAATATTATTATTATTATTGTTGTTGTTGTTGTTGTTGTTGTTGTTGTTGTTGCTGCTGCTGCTGCTGTTATTATTATTATTATTATTATTATTATAATTATTATTATTATTATTACTATTATTATTATTATTATTACTATTATTATTATTATTATTACTATTATTATTATTATTATTATTATTATTACTACTACTATTATTATTATTATTATTATTATTATTATTATTATTATTATTATCATCATCATTATCATTATTATTATCATAATTATTAGGACCCATTCACTTCACCTTATTTTTGTTGAACTGAAATTATGTATACTAAGGACCTGTTCACAATTACTTAATTTCGGTTTAGTTCATTTCAGCTCCAATCAATTCAATTCAGTTCAGCTTCAATCAATTTAGTTCAGCTCCTAATTTTCCTCTCTCATAAAATATTCGTTTTAGCTTAGTTCAGTTCAGCTCCAATCAATTCATTTCAGTTCAATTCAGCTCCAATCAGTTCACTTCAGTTCCGTTCAGCTCAGTTACGTAAATGTGAACATGCCCTAAGCATAAATTATTTTTGCTGAAATGAAATAAATTTTAATGAACAGAAACAGAGGTTTTTCAGTACGGCAGGCCACATGGTGCGCCATGGGTTACTTGTAGGGTGTTACTGGTATTGTATCTGATCATTTTATTTTTTTAATTTTATTGAAATTTGGACTTATTTTGTTGTGTACTTGTGTATTAGTATTTATTTGAACACTCTATTTTATAATTGAATACCCGATTTATATCTGTACATTCGGATATCGGGTGATTGATGAATTTCGAACCCCCTAGGTACAATTCCTGGATCCGCCACTGCTTCAACTAGCCCCACTTTCACAAATATTTTATTGTTTCTCTTTCCTACCAACCTCACCCACACTATTTTTTTTATTTATTATTATTTTTATGTCTTATTAACAATACTCTATATTATTAGTCTATAAGCCTACTCCATAATTTTCTTAAACTATGAGCCAAACCTACTGTTGCAACTAATGCGAAACGGAGGTCGTAATAAAATTGCTACTAACATTAGCGGTTCATTTTATAGTTATTAATATTTAATATTAGTTGTTTATATTTAACATTGTTTTTCAATGAGAAGATATTGCGTGCGTACGGACGCACGAACTGTTTGGTGCTGGAGGATTGACTGATATATTTTACTCGTTGGCTTATATGTTTCATGTGTTAGGTTGACTGATATGATTTTTGATATTGGCTAATATATTTCTTTTGTTGGATGATTGTTTTTTTGTTTTTTTTTTGTTTTTTTGCCTTTTATTGGCTAATATTAGACACAATTTGGTTTACATGTTTCTTCAATTGGCTTATATGTTTATTTTGTTGGCTGATATATATATATATATATTTTAATTGTTGGCTTGTATATTACATTTTGTTGGCTGATATGTTTATTTTGTTGGCTTACCTGTTGCTTTTGTTGGCTGATATGTATTGGCTGATATACTCCTCTTGTTGGCTTATATGTATCTTTTGTTGGCTGATATATATACTTTTCTTGTTGGCTTATATGCTTCATTTGTTAGATGATATGTCCCTTTTGTTGGCTAATAGATATCATTTGTTGGCTGATAAGTCCTCTTATTGGCTTATATGTATCTCTTGTTGGCTAATAAGTTTCTTTTATTAGCTGATACTGTTTTATTAATGTCTTTAATCTTTAATGTTGATTGATATGAAATATCAATTGGTTGATATAATACTTGTATTAGCTTATTTACAAATATTTCACTCTCTCTCTCCTCTTTTCCACTCTTCCTCATTTTCTTTCTCCATGGCAACATATCAAATTATGTTCTTCCTAAACATAACCAAAAATCAAATTATGAATTCCTCTCCATAGCAACATATTAGGCAAACGGCACCACCATTCCACCACAAATCAGCAACACAACCACCACCACACTTAGCTCACCACCACAACCCCCTGCCGACCCACCACCACACTTGATCTCGATCTCCTTCGTCCCCTTGCCACAGCCGCAACCACCACCACACTTAGCTCAATCTCGATCTCCTTCGTCCCCCTGCCGCAGCCCCCACCGACCACCACGCAGCCACGACCAGCCACGCATCCGATACTACCAGTGAATTTCGAAACATAGCGAATCATTAATTTTAATTTGATTAAAATTATAATTGTTTATGCAATTGATGTGAAAATCTTATTGTAATTTAGATCTAAAAAGGAGGAGGGGCATAGGAGTGAGAAAGAGAAGGGAAGAGAAGGAGAGAGAAACAAAAAGCAAAATAACACTGGACACACAAACAACTTATCATACCTTTAGGTTCTAAATGCTAAATTTATATAATTGATTCATTTAGTTTAGTTATATATATACTCGCCTCCTTAACAAACATATTATTTTAATTTAATATTTAAGATATAGTTTTTTCTCTGTAGGTTTTTTTTTTTTTTTTTTTTTTGACGAGTACTCTGTAGTACTATTTAAGTATTGAATGAAGTTGTTAGAGACATGAAAAATAATATAATCGATTTTGGAACATATATCATACTTAAATGGAACCTATAATACATAGGTGAAATAGTCAATTTTGGAACATATATAGACTTAAATGGAACCTATTAGACATACGTAGTAACTCGAATGGAACCTATTAATTAATTTTAGAATGAATATTAATTTGTGTAATGTAACTTGATTGATTGTATCAATTTCAGAATATATATATTTGTGTAATGTAACTTATTTACACATAATCAATTAAACACGAATAAAACCTACTAGACTTGATTTAACCTTGTCGCAAGATAATTGATTGAACCTTTATAAGTATTAAACCTAACCTAAGACTTTGTTTCTTATATATTATGAAAAGAACACACCCTTAAATAAAAGTCATAAAAGATTCAATAAAAACATTGAGAACCAATTCCTTAATAGCTTAGTCGTTTTCTTAATTTTGAGTGTTATTCTGATTATATCCCACTTTGTAACAAGTATAACAATCACCCTATTCTTAGGGGTTGTTTGGTTACACAAAGAAAATGGAGGAAGTCAAAAATCATGGGAATTTGAAAATGGGTGAGTTGTTTGGTTGACACTAAAAAGTGAAAATGAGGGAATTGTAAATTCATGGGAATTGTGACTTCCCACAAAAAACATGGGAAGTTGATTACCCAACCCTCCCTAGGTAAGTCAAAATTCCCATGATTTGCAACTTCCTTCATGTCAACCAAACAATTTTAAGCAATTCCCATGAATTTGATGTAGGAATTTAATTCCCATGAAATACAAATTCCTATGGGAAGTAAATTCTCATAGCAACCAAACGACACCTAGTCTAGCAGTAAACATAGTGAGTTCTTATGCTTGAAATACACAAGCAATAAATTTAACACAAAAAATAAAAAAAATACAATTAAGGGCCTGTTCATATTTACTAAACTGAGCTGAACTGAGCTGAACTGAATTGAACTGATTGGAGCAGAATTGAATATTTTATGAGAGGGAAATTAAGAGCTGAACTGAACTGAACTGATTGGAGCTGAACTGAACTGAAGTAAATATGAACAAGCCCTAACTTCTTATGCTTGAAATTGATTAAATGCAGCGGTAAACAATTAATAGTAGTGAGGTCTTTGAAATTAATTCAATGAAGCAGTAAAAAAAAATCCTAAACATAGTGAGTTCTTCAAAGGAGCAGTAAACATAGTGAGTACTAAAACATTAAACAAACAAATGTATGAATGTCTTCCTTATGCTTCCATTGCTACTTGAGTTTTACTCGAAAGCCCATTGATTCTCCCTGCGAATTTCTTCCTCTTCTTTGGGTGTGAAATCGTTCTTGATGTGGAAGGTTTTCCTTATCTCCTCGGGTGTCTTTCCCTTGATCATATCAGCCACACATTGACAAGTTAAATCCAGCAAACTCTTAATATCCATGTAATTAGCAGCCTGCATACCATCATCACACATAATTAATTTTGTTATTGCTTTATTAATTGACCATGTAATTGTATATACTATAAAGAACATGTTCACTTACATTTATCAGCTGTAACAATCCTTAAATTATATTAACAAACAACTCATACATGATACATCTAAGCAAAAAAAAGTTTATCTAATCAAAAAAAAGTTTGGTACAATATAATGTTTAATACGATGATTGCGAAGTCAAAGTGTTAAACTATTACGTATCATATTATTAAAAATTATGATAATCATATATGATAAAATTATATAACTAACTAATATAATCCCAAAACAAAAACTAGCTAACATTTAATTAAAGCCTTTTAAAAAAAAAATCCAAAGAACTCGTAGAACTCCTATTTGCTCATTGAATTCATATGGACGACCCAATCAGACCCAAAATCAAGGTTTAATATAATTTAACCAATTTTATTTTATTTGTAATTAATTCAAGCCCAAAAATTAAAGACTAACTAGATTTTATATAGACAAGAAAAGATTAAGGTAGTCGTATTATTATACTTTCGAACCCTTAAACCCTAAAAATTATTTTACACATTAACTCAAACCCTTTCAAATATAAAATAATTAATCATATATACACATCCGAACCTAAAGCCCTAAAAAGATCGATCAATCGTAAAATTAGCCCTAATAATATCTTAAATCAACAAAATAAATTTTTTAAAAAAAAAGAAAAGAAAAACGAAAGAAATAAATTTAAGTCAATCTCAAATCAACAAAAATAAAGAAAATAGATCAAAGTAAAAGAAAGATACTTACAAGAATAAGATCAAAGAGGGTGTCTTTGTCGACATTGAGGAAGTCCTTATCCCACTGCTTGAGTTCATCATTATTAGATGATTCGGAGTTATCATCATTAGCGTGTTTGTTGCAATACTCGATAACCTTAGCGAGAATTTTAGAGGTGACATTATGCAGCGGGATGGGATCGGTGCTGTCGCCGAGGTCCTCGATCATGTTCTTGATGGTTTGAGAAAGCATTGCTGCCTTTTCGTCGACGTTGAAAGTGTCTTTATCGGAACTCCTTAGGGTTACCTTCTTGTTCGAAGATGAAGAAGAGGTTGATGCTGCCATTGCTAATTAAGTAATTAGGTTGACTGTTTTAAGGTTCAGAAAAGCTAAGAGATTTGAGAGAGAGAGAGAATTTTTGTTGGGAGTATGAAAGAATATGAATTAATGATGAGGCTTTGGGAAGACTTCGTTGGTATTTATAGATTTTTTTTTTTATTATTTATTTTTTTAAAAAACATTGACTAAATTCTAGTTGAAGTATACTTTCCTTTTTTTTCCTTCAAAAAAGGAAAATAAGAGCAACTCCAATGGTTGGAAAAAGGGACTTGCTTGCAAATATTAAAAATCTTAAGCTAGTAGCTACACCATTGTTGCAAATCTTGTTGATTAGCTTTGGCAAGCAAATTAGCTTTGTAGAGCTAATTAGCTTAGCAAATATTTATTAGATAAAAAATATTATTAATTTGAAAATAAATTAATTTACAACTAGCTTAACCATTGTAGCAATAAATAACTTGAATTGTTGTAGCTTAAGAAGTTGATGTGGCACGCCAAGCTATTAAATAAATTAGCCAACCATTATAGTTGCTCTAAATACTTCCCTTTTTTTTAGTACCACATTTTACTTTCCTTTTCTTTTTTTTTTTTTTTTACGGGTACTTTCCTTTTCTTTTAGGGCTTGTTTGACATTGTTTTTTGTTTTGAGTTTTCAGTTTTTTTAAAAACAAAAAACCAAAAACAGGAAACAAGAAAAAGGTGTTTTCACTTTTCTGTTGCCAGTTTTCAAAATTAGCATGATTTTAATAAGTTTGACTAATTTTTTTATTCATTATATTACATATATCATACACTTTTAAAATACAAAAAACCAAAAAACTGAAAACCGCAACAATGCCAAACAAGATAATTTTTAATTTTTTTAATGTCTGCCAACGACATGAGAATTTTTATTTTTTTAATAGAATTTTTTTTTAATTTTTTATAGGTACAAAACTTACCCAAACAGAAAACGTGTCAATTAAAAATAAATTTTTTTAAAAAGAATACATGTCAACTAAAAAAAACGGAGGTAACCATATAGAATGTTCCTAGGTGTATACATAAAAGGTTATGTAGAAATTGAATAATTAGGGTTTAAAGAATTGTGGTAAAAGATTATTACTTCGTATTATTTGTGCTCTCTTCATATTAACTACATTGATTTCCAAAAAAAAAAAAAACAAAAACAAAAACCAAAGGGAAAAAATGTACGTATTTTTTTTTGTGTTTAAAGAGCCACGAGGGCGGGGTGAGAATCGATCCCATGATCTCCTGAAATCGGGAGGGAAACTCTAACCACTTGAGCTATCCCTCACTCTCTCCATATCCACTTATTTGATTGTTGACCAACTTGTTTCAAATAATTTCAAAAAAAAAAATTAAAATCAAAATTAAAATAAATTGTTGACCAACTAGTTAGATTTTAGCTATGATTTTCACTTTTATCTCACCAAACATAAAAATGAATTTCACTTTATATTTTTACACCTAATTAAACCTGTCAACTTTAATGCCACATCATAAGTAGAGGTGTCACGGATAATGGAATGGAGTTTCGGTCGGATTGGGTATGTTCAGGTCAAGATTACCCTTCTAATTCATCTCAGGACCGCATTGATTTCGGGTCAAGGTCGCTACGGTCGATTTGTGTTGGATCAATTTCAAATGGGTTCATATTCGATTATGATAATTTCAAATTGGGTTCAAGGCAAATTAAATTTTGACAAATTTTTTTGACAAATTTTGAGAATTATGATAATTTTGACAAATTTATGGTTCCGGGGAAGGTAACTTAAGGTGGGTTGATTCCGGTTTGGTAGATTTCGATTCGATTACGCTTAGTTTGATTAAGATAAAGTTGAATTAGTATTAGGTCTATTCCCATTCAAATCCTTTTCAAGTTTGGCTAAATGTTGGTCGGGTTGATTAAATTCAATATTTAAATAATTATGTCATTTTAAAAAAGAGTAATTATTGAGTTATGGCCTTATTATTGGGTCGATATTGGGTCATTCATGTGCATTTTTCATATTGTGACGTTAATATAAAGAGTGCCAAATTATTAGTTTTCTCATTTGATCACTTCTTGTACCATTTTTTTATCTTTATGCCAAATTACAATTGAATTATCGAAGATTTTTTTCTTACCTACATAAGTATTAAGACGATTAGTAATGAGTTGGTGATAGATTGATAGATCATTTTTAAGGTTATTATTACTCTTCAACCGTGCGATCTTATGAGGCTATGAGCATTGTTGGTTTGCTTTATTACTAATTCAAGTTGTGTAAGATATTAGTTAGAGCTCTTAGGTTGGGTATAAATTTATAATTAATTTGAAATTTTAATCACATGTTGGATTAAAATTATGGTTAGTTTTTTTTTCAAACAAAAAATAAAAAATAAATAAAATAAAATAAAAAATAAAAATTATGGTTAGTTTTAAAATGGTTGATTTGAAATCATGTTGGGTTAAAATCAGGTAGGGTTAAAATCGGATCAGGACAGGTTAATATCATTTTGGGTTAAAACAAATCATAATGAATTCGGTATTTGTCGAGTCAATTTTGGATCGAGTTAAGTTTAGATCAGGTCAAATCGGTTTTGTTTGAGTTAAGTTGGGTCTAATCGATTTTGGGTTGAATTCAGGCCAGGTCAAACCAGTGCCGGGTTAATTAAAATCATATTAGTTCAAATTTTGAGTTACAACTCGATTGAAACATATGATTTTTTTTTCGGGTCAGATCAGTTTTGACTTCTCTGATCTACCTATATTGTCATTAGTGATGAATTTAATTTTAGAAATTGAACATAATGCACCCATAAAGTTGAGATAGCCAGTATATGTATTGTACAATTATTCAGGTGGTCAAGAAATTAACATTAAAAAGAGATTTTTATATGAAAATTAATAAACTCCATTCTCTATAAGGAGCTATGTTGTGTTTATATACTAATCTACAAATAGAATAATGTAAACAAAACCAAATGAGATTAGATAACAGTAGTAAAACATGATGGGATTAATAGTTCTTTAAATTAAAAACATTAACATTTTAACACTTTACCCGTCCACGCATTAGCAAAGCATAGGCAAATTATCAAGATAAAAATGTAAGAAAACTAGAAAAGATAAGGTTTTATTTTGTTTTGTCATTTGGTATTTTAATTTGAGTTTAGCCTATTTTTGGTTATAAAGACCGTTGCAATAACAAGTGACGTTGGCGGGATTTGATCTCATTATCACCTTTTAAGACTTTAATCAACTATACTAGTCGATCATCCACGTTTGAGTTTAACTTAAGGTATAAGGCCAGGTTTTTCATTACATTAGTGAATGATGAGATCTTTTATAGAGTTTAATTCTTTGTTTAAGAATGTTATTATTGCGATCTTGTCTAAAAACAAACAAATTAATTGGAAAATAAAATAGTCCTTTTAACTATAAACCATAATTTTATTCCACACAAACTTTTCCGAGTAGCAAATGATGAACAAAAAAAATTACTCATACACAAAATCAAAATTAAAAGAATCATCACAATGTATCAACAAACAATTTAAACATTAGATGATAACATTCTAATCGATGTATCGAACTTAATTTTGAAATGCCCATGAATTCTCGTTTCGAATGTTTGCTTCTTCTTCAGGTGTAAAATCGTTCTTGATGTTAAAATGAGCCCTAATCTCCTCCGGTAATTTTCCTTTAATCATGTCAGCCACACATTGTGTTAATAACTCCAACAAACCTTTTATCTCCATATAGTTTGAAGCCTGCATATCATCACATATAATTTCATTAGTATACACATTTAATGAAACGGACATATTAATGCATAAAAAAAATATACTAAATATTAATAAACAAGATTTATTGAACAAGAAAAAAAAAATACTTACAAGGAGGAGATTATAGAGGGTGTTTAAGTCCATATTATTGGCGTACTCCTTATCCCATTGCTTAAGTTGTTCATCAGAGTCGGAATCTTCGGTAGCATGTTTCTTGCAATATTCAATAACCTTAGAGAGTACTTTTCCGGGAACAATAGACACCGGAATCGGGCTATTGATGTCGTCGAGATCTTCGATCATGTGTTTGATGGTTTGAGAAAGCATTGCAACGTTTTCGTCAACTTCAAACTTCTCTCCATCGGAACTCTTAAGGATTATCTTCCTGGACTAAATTGAAGAAGAGGTTGATGCCATTGCTATTGAAAAGTTTAGAATATTAGAGAGAAAAAAAAAAAAAAAAAAAAAGGATTATTTGGAGAATTGGAGTATGAGAGAATATGATTAGACTTTGAAAGAGTGTGAAAGAAAATAAGGATTATTTGGAGTATTTATAGAAAATACGGGAACAAGGGTTTCACGTTTCCTAATCCTAGTTCATCTAAAGTTCTTGGTGCCCAAGCAAGTAAACTTTCCTGTTTTTTTCTTTTTTTTTTTTTTAAAGACGAGTTATTTTGTTTTGTTTTTGGGAAAATATTATCCCAAGTTAATTAAGTAAACTAATGCCGGTAATAAAATAAAATCCTATATGACTTCAATCATTATTCCTTAAATAAGTCTTAGCCAAGATAAGGATTTGTATTAAGAACATGTTCACTTAACCTTATTTTGTTGATCTAAAATACAATACTCCGTGTATAATATTTCTCCTTTATTGTTACTGATTTTTACTAAATTAAAATTATTTTTACTAAGCTGGATTAAATTTTAGATTTATTTTTAATTAACTTAAATTATTTTCATGGAATATTACTCTTATTTTTTAAAGTGAAGTGAATAGATCTAATTCATAAGCCTTTTCAATAGAAAGTGTAAAAGGCATACATTAACCTAATGTAAATTGAATAGGGTCTAATTCATAAGCCTTTTCAATAGTATATACCTCTCTACCGTTATAGTTGAAGTTCTGGTGTATTCAAATATGGACTATACGATCATTAACTCGCCACGTTGAATGGGTTTAATAATTTTGTAAGATTTGATTTGTTTTGCTGAGTTAACAGACTGCCTGAGATTGTTGAGCAATTGTGCTTTCAGCATAATTCACACCTATTCTCAGGTTTACTACAAATATTCTTTATGTTTTTAATTTGGAACTTCTACTTCTCTGCCCCTGGATGTAGCACTACATACATAATGCTAATTTGGGTAAGAGAAGGATTCAAATCCAAACATCACAGTGAGAGGAGTAATAAACTGGACTTATAAAAGAGTTGTTTATACTCCAATTTTGCATAGTTACTATGCGCTATGTTTCCTGCACTGAACTATTTACATAACACTACCATGTAATATCCTCATTTTCTACTTCTAAGTGCAAATAGAAACAAGAGCCCAAGTTCTCGCTCTCTCCCCATCCCACCCCCTCTATGATTAGTGGCAGAGAAGAGGATTTCAGATGATTGCACAGCCAACCTTTGTAAAGAGCAGCTCTCACGGAGTATATTGCATGAAGCATGTAACTGGAAGGCAGTATCTAATATGGATTTTCCAGTCACATTAGAACTCCATCTGCTGTGCTGAAGGTGGGTGTGCCATGGTCTTCATTGGACCTACATCCAAGGTTTAAACAGAGGTGATTAATTTTAATACTACTAGCATGCGACGCAAAAACTAAAATGACATAGTTATTGCTGGTTAGGCTACAGTAAAAAGCACCTTTCACTCCCCTAATCTCCACTTCTCGCCATTCTTGGACAAGAGAACAGCAGCAACATAATAAATGTGAGAGAAAATCATCACATGCGCCTCCCTGAACAACAATTTGGAGCTAAGCAAATATGTAGAAAGCAGAAATTATGACATAAGGCTAAAGACATGTTGATCGGCTTAGTGAAAGAGTAAGACCTTGACGTTGAGTATCTTGCGAAGCTTTTTTCTAATACAGCAAGTGTAGCAACAACATGACAATACCAACGAGTATGCTGTCAATTCATTGCATGCATCTCCTGAAGCTGTAGCAATAAGAGACAAGAATAGTCAGGGAAAAATTAGAAATTTTATGACCCATTATCATTGACAAAACTCATTAACAGTCCCTCTACTTAAACTCTAATAACATTGTACTACATTTTCAAACATTACAAAAAGAGGAAAGAAACCATTATACATAAGGAAACTGATTTTTAGATATGAATCATATGATTTTTATTTGAACATGCCAAAACAAAAAAGGTGGCAATGAAACTCTGAATGAAGTAATAGTCTTCAAATGTCATTGTAATTGTCAAAACAAAGGATAATTTCGAAACATGTGAATTTGAAGAGGCTGTAAAGCCAGGCTGAGGTAGCCGACCTAAACTGATGAGGAATGCAGAGAAAGGTCTGGTGCTTCAGGTAAGACTCACATTTAAAACAAATTAATCGCTTAGAGACTTAGTGCCAGTTAAAAGTTATTATTCAAAGTCTGAGTTTCCTTTTCATAGCCGCGATTTTTCTATCTCGAAATACACCCAGGGTTCAAGCCAGATCTTGTTTCCGAATTACACAACAAGACTCATTTTAAGGACAATGGAAGAGGTCAAAAACAATCTTAAATACTTTCGAGTGTATATAAACGTGAATCTCCACCCAAATTCTTGCTTGACCTATTATAGATTTTTTTTTTCCATAACAATAAACAATACACCTAATACGATTCTAGGCACAGCAAACTTACATTTTATATCAGATTACGAGATTTATAGCACTAGAATATAATTGGGCTTTTTGGTGATCATCTCCAGAATTTCCATTTTAAACAGGCAAAGGAAAGCTTGCTAAAAACAGGATAGTATAATACCTACTGTGCCAAATTTATTATGAAGCTATATTCTAACATTACTAAGATACCATCATATCCTAACTTGAGAATAGAAAAGCAAAAACTGTGTTGCTTACACATGTGCTTATTGTTTGCCACTGATGCAATCCTTGAAAATGTTCCGCAGGGAAAGAAGAATGTTTTTAAACCTGACAATGTAAACATCAATAAATAAATGCCCTACATTGCAAGTGAAAAAATCCAACCTCGATTGCAATATTGTTTATCAGATCTAATTCATTACGGCTATTTCACTAAATGCCACTGAGCACTTTAAAAATTCACTAAGTGCCATCGGACTTCTCAGAATTCACCAAATGCCACCGAGTTTTTAAAAAATTCACCGAATGCCATTAATGACAAACGGCAATTAACTCCGTTAGTCAACAAGGCTAATTATGCCACGTGGTGGCTTAAAATTGGTTGCTTATTAAATTAGTAAATTAATTACTTAATAAAATACTTTAAAAGAAAAAAAAAAAAAAAAAAAACCCACCCACCCACCATGACCTAGCCCGACCACCGTCTATCACTGCCACCCCTATATCCCCACCTCCAACCAGTCCCCACGCGGCGGCGACCCTGAACAATCGAGCCGGCGACCCAGCCTTGAACAACTGCGCCGCCGACGACCCAACGTAGGCAGCTCGCGCCGACAACGCACCCAGCCGATTCGCAAACTCTCCTTCTCCCTCGAAAATCCCTCCCCTCACCACCGTCGACGACCAAAGCCCCCCTCCCCACGCCGGAGAACCCATATCAGTTCATCCCCTCCGAGCTCCACCCTTTCAACCACCACGCCGGAACCCTAAATTAAAATCCCCAAAAATCGAATTCTAGGGTTTCGACACCTTAAACCCCAATATCGATTTCCCTAAATTCGTAACCCCCTCCACTCTATCCCTCCTGCTTCGACGAACCCAAACCACCTCTTTCCCTCCCATCTCCACCCTTGAACCACCTTGCTTAAAATCGAAAACCAAATTTGATTTTCGATTTTGGAGATTTCGTTTTTGGGGTTTTATTAGGGTGTCGAGAATGGGTGTTTAGGGGGGGAGTGGATGCAGATGGTAGGGGGCATAGGGTTTGGGGGAAGGGTGACCGCCGACGATGTTGGTCACCGGTGGGGGTGGAGGCAAGGGGTTGGGTTGGCGTAGGGGCGGTGGTGCGGTGGGAAGAGTGGTTGGGGTTCAGTTTTTTTTTTTTTTAATTATAATTTTTTTGATAAATAAAATAATAATAAAATGAACCAATTAGAATATACCACGTGGCATAATTAGCCTTAATGACTACTGGAGTTAACCACCGTTAGTCATTAATGGCACTCGGTGAATTTTTTAAAAACTCGGTGGCATTTGGTGAATTCTGAAAAGTCCAATGGCATTTGGTGAATTTTTAAAGTACTCAATGGCATTTGGTGAAATAGCCGAATTCATTATTATAATTGAAAAGCTATATATTTGTATGCAAATGTCACATAAGTAGTAATATCAGGAATATAAACAGAGAAAACATACACAACTTGGGCTTGGAGCAACAGTCAAGCAGGTCAGTGTGCCAGTCCTCCATATCATCTGATCCCCTGGCATATTGCACCTCATATTCTGGAGATGGTATGGAAGTGTTTCTGCACCCAATTGTACAAATATGGGCAAAAAAATTTAGCCTAGACATCACAGTCAAGCTCCACAAGACCACGCCTCAACAGATAAATCTAATAGACTTAACTAGTTACCCAGGCAAGAAAACATGCTAGCGTAAATACATTATGCAGAAAAAAGGACAGATAACGCAATAAGAGTTCAAATTTAAGCATAAATCAATCTTTTGGGACAGGGCTTGAATTACCTGACGGTAGACAAAGCACCAATACTCTTATGGCAGGTCTCAACGCCAGAGAATGCTTTTCCATCATGAGATTTTGAATAGCTAGCCTCCAAATTTCTGGAGTGCCTAGAGGCAGCTTCTGTTACCTCAATCAAGTGTTCAATCACTTGACTATGTTGGACATTCATGGAAGACTGCGACCGCTGCAGTTCCATCTGAAGCTTCTCATTTTCTTCTAGAAGGGCTTGTTCAAATCGCATGCTTGGATATGAGCAAGATAGGGTCTTCTTGAGAAGCACGGTATCAGCCATTGATGGTTCCTTATTCAAAATTGCAACTTGCATCTTTCTGTCCTCTTCCTCTAATGTATAGTCATATTGATCATTTTGGATATGTTCTAATCTTTCCTGTCCATCAAAAGAAGGAATATATTGAATCACCAGACACACAGGACACAGCCCACCCAACACACACCCTTAATTGAAACATATTACATCCCGAAGTATTACCCAGATATAGTTAGCCCACCATTCTGTTATCTTTATCTCTCAACTCATGTAAAGTTACACCAACTCATATCATTCAGTTATTTTTTCTGTCAAGCTTTTTACGGATCATCTCAACTATCGTGTAAAGTTACATCACTTCAAATCCTCAATACATTGACATCAACAAATGCCAATGGAAACCCCAACAAACACTTAAGAAAAATTATATAAAGCAACTGAATATCTTGCAACTTTGTAGCATATGAGCTATTGATCAACAATAAATCAAAGAATAACATCCTCATCTGCAATCAGGAAAAGCTTAAACAACTATTAAGAAACATATGGCATTGCAACAAAATCGTGACACAGCTAAAGGACCCAACAAGAGAATGATCTTTACCTTGAAGCGAGCATTGCTAACAAGCGTCAGCAAAGGCATAATCCGCAAGTAGCGATCGATCTCGTCTTGAATGCGCTTAAATTGGTTCACAATGCTCCACCCCATTGCTAAGAGATACAGATAACTTTTATCCTGGCAACTATGAACTAACAAATAAGCCCTTTTCAGTGCTTCTTCTAACTGTTCTAAGGGTTCACTTGTTTCAGGGTACTTTTTCAGCTCCGTTATCTTAAGCTGCTCCAACAAATTCCCAATTAATTTCAAGTGATGAGCAAACTTTTTGCAATTCTTCTTGTGCAATCTAGCCCTATTTGCAGCATCTACTATTAACCCTATTAACCCAACCGCATGAACACCCGCTATTTGACCAACATTCCCAATATCTTCCAAAGTATCCCAATTCGGCATTTTCACTCTTTTAGGACTTTTATCAAACACCTAGCAGACACCCAACTAACTAAACCCCAAGCTATTTTGGTACAAATTCTAACAAAGTGAGACTATTATAAGCATAAATTGCGCAATGTAGAGCATGAAATCAACAACCCCAGAAAATATTTTGACGAATTGAAGCCCAAATCAATCCAAAGCAATTGTAAATAGATCAAAGTTGCATTTTTTTGTTGGGATCAAACCTAAAAAGAGCATTAAACGAGAGAATAATAAAAACAAACAATCGTAAATCTGAAAGTAAAATCAATAAATCGAATTCATTAATTCCAACAAATCATTGGAAATTGGAAAAGGAAAGAGTACAGAAAATGAAGAGATTAAAATCTAGAAAGGGAACAACTTGAAGAGAATGAAGACGAGAAAGGCGAAGAAAATGAAGAGAAAAAGATAATCTACAAAGACAAAGAATTTAGTGGATCCATGATTTCTATTCTTCTTCTCTTTCGCTTTAACCTCAGTCTCGTCAAGCTGCTGTAGTCTTGCCATGAGAAGACTTTGTGAGTGTCGGTTTGTGATCTGCCAACAATTATTTGGAAATCTGTAAATCTGGAAATCGTGCGTACGTACTTGGGTCTTATGTTACACCACGGAGCACTGATACTCAGACTATTATCACTTGTTAAACTGTTATGTGCTTAACTGCTTATGCTTTATGTAATTAATTAATTATGTCTATCACGTTGGTTTAGTGGTAGACTTGTAGGATACGTGTCTTTAATTAATGTACTCTTTTCGTATTTTAATAAATATTACTGTTTGACTTTTTTCGTAATGTTAATTTTAATAATTTTTATTTAGTTATAATAAAATATATTAATTATTGAATTAGGCATATGAAAACATAAAAGTCAAAGTCTTACACCTAAATCTTCGATAGATGGAGTATACGTAGCTTATATAGTTATATCTTATGTGTATAAACTAGGTTAAAATCCCGTGCAATGCACGTTTGTAAAATATTTTTGACAATTTTATAATAAATATTTTAATATAATGACTTGAGTATTAAAAAATATGGAGTATATTAAACATAAAAGCATGCAAGAGAAAATATTTAAAATACAAATTCTTAAACGAACCTGGTTCACACTAATTTATTGTGGACCACTAACATTAGAGACAATATGATTGTTTTATTAATAAAAAATTAAGGTCACTATATTTAAAAAATGGTTATTATGTTGAAACAAAAGTTAGTATGGCATTATAAAAGCTATAAGAGGTTAATTTTTTTAATGAAATTTTTAGTATAATGGTCAATATGAATAATAAAGATCGGTATGTTAAAATTAGGTCACTATTCAATATAGTGTCGTATTTTAAGTTCATAATAACATTAAAGGTCACACAAATTTTAAAAATGGTTATTATGTTAAAAATAAGGTTACTATATTAAAATTAAGGGTCACTATGTTGAATATAATGTCAATTACGTGTTTATAAACCTTAAGTTCACAATAATATTATTGTGGACCAAGTTCATGCAAGATTTTCTATATTTAAAAAAATATGTAATAGTTATAAACTTATAATGGATAGTTTAATCTTTTAGGAAAAGATTTATATTTTATATAAAACAAATTATGTCATAATTTAGATATATTTTTTTCCTTAAGTAACAATAATTTTTTTAGAAGGTACTTTTGGCAGGAAATTTGTTAATAATACATTGACAAGTGTGTCTTAAGATTCGCTTTTAGTAGTATGTAATTGATTGATGTGTACCAAGTTCACGCAAAATTTTCTGTATTTAAAAAACATGTAATAGTTATAAACTTATAATGGATAGTTTAATCTTTTAGGAAATGATTTATATTTTATATAAAACAAATTATGTCATAATTTAGATATAATTTTTTTTCCTTAAGTAACAATAATTTTTTTAGAAGGTACTTTTGGCAGGAAATTTGTTAATTATACATTGACAAGTGTGTCTTAAGATTCGCTTTTAGTAGTATGTAATTGATTGATTACGCAGTCACTAATTTTTTACTTTTCTAATCAATTACTAGGAAGTATGGTCATACAGAGTAACAACTATAAAATCTGCTCCAAGTAACACTATAACATTAGGTTTAGTAGCAAGAGCTGTATTATATCAAATTATATGCTTTGTATGACATCTTATCTTTTTTTATTTCTTTTTTTTTATTTTTTTTTTCCCTAAAAACTTCGTATGACATCCAGTATATAACTACATATGATCTGATTCCGACTGATTGTGCTCTCGGAATATATAGGAAGTGCATTGGATTATTTAGAATATGCTCTGAATTTATATATCCAAGGCAACGTCACATGGTGTTGATTAAATAATACAGAAGGACAAAATCATCTCAAATGTTGTCTATGGAGATGCAAAAGCATGATATTCTGCAAGCTGCTTTTTTTTTTCCTGGTGTAATTACATCAACCCAGGAAAACACAAAAAGATCAAAAAAATTTTTTTTTTTTAATAAGGATATCACATAATTATATAATCAAGGAGATTAACGTGAAGAATCAGGGAAAAAATGAGATTCTTCGGTTAATCTCATTGATTTACATGTAAAACATCACCTTTTGCATTACTTTGACAGTTTGACCTGGTGTGATTACTACAGTACTAATTAAGCTTGAGAGTTGAGACCAAATGATATGAAAGGATAAAAGTAAACCCCGTCTTTGATAAAAATTAAATATAAGTACTTACTAAAGGATGATTAAGCTCCATGATCAAACAATTTAATCGTTTGGTTCGGAATTGTGAGGAAACGACAATGGAAATACACAACTTTGAGAGGGCTGAGGACCTGAGGTTGAGAAACATCATGGTCTTTATGGAGACCTAAAATTGAGAAGGAAAACCTGTGAAGAAAAAAGTAAAGAAAAAAAAAAAAAAAAAAAAAGCACTGAAGAAGCAACGAGCCAAAGGGGATCGTCCTACATCCAAGTGCTTCTGCATCTAAAGCAGCACAATAACTAATCAAAAATTTTATGAAGCCAATGCTCCAACGCCAGGCATTGGGAATTCACCTCACTCGAATGTTACAAATACTGAATACTGATAGCCATAATTGATAACTCTGTGTCTTTAAATATGTCAACAAAATCTTCTTCAAAAAAAAAATATATATATGTCAACAAAATCATACAGAGTAAAAATTATACCATTAGGTTCAGCATGACATGTACATTAAAATTTTTACATAATTTTCTGCCTAAGCATTATGAGCAATAACTTAATAACTGTCAAAATTTTACTTTGAAATTCTGCAGGCGTTACAAAACAAATATTAGAGTGAGTAATATATGATCAATATCACTGCCGCTATCACCAAATTGCAATGAATGTGGAAATTTCTTTGGAAAATATCCACAGAATCTAATCGACAGAAGTAGTGAGGATCAGACAACAGCACAAACTTTTTCCAACTTCACTCACAGTTCTTGAGATACACTATGATGATGCATCCAAATAAAATTGGGTATGGAAAAATAGGATAATAACTGACTACAAAAGGTTAAACTTGGTCAAAAAAATGTCACAATCACAAGATATGGTACAAAAAATCAAATAGACCAAGTTGAATTCAACATTAAGGCAGGAGTTTGCTTATTCCCATCCATGAAGTAAACAAAAGCTGGTTGCAAGCTCAATCTCTTACCCAAATTGAATTTCAGAAACGCTTCAACCTGAAAGTGGTCCCACCTTTTTGGACCTTGGATTGTCCCGCCCAAACTTAGACCCCATCCAATCTCATCTTCTGGAAAATCAGACATGCTAACTGACCACTGAAGATGATTTGGACTATCGTTCTTCATTTGTAACCACCCTCGAACTCTGGTGCTTTCATCAAGTTCAGATTCAAGCATCACAGCAACTGAGTCTCCTGCAACTGGTGGTGAGGCTGCCATTGGTTCCTCAGAATGCTGCTGGCGTCGCAATATGCCTAGTGGTATTGCCAAGGCTCCAGCACTGACCTGTTGTCTTGGTTTTGGCACCTGGTGAAGGCCAAAGAGGGAGAGCTTTGCACTCCTTGGGAGCTGACAGACGATCTGACCAAAGGTGCTGAAGCAATGGCCAAATGAACCTGGTAGATCAGCAGCTAACTGAGCTAAAGAAGCAACAACATTTGATTTTTTTACAGTGACACCAATTGCACATCCATGATCTTGATGCAGCAGAGGTGGTCCAAAAGATGAGTAATCGGTAAGGCCCCTCTCCTGTCAGATAAAAGAAACTAAAATGAATATAGGAGTACAGATCAAAAATTACAATAGAAAAGAGCACCCAGCAATTTTCTCTGCGTAGCAAAGTTATTGCATACCTGATATGAAGAAAAATCCATTGAAGCTGACAAGTCTCTACATCTAGCCCCCATAGGAATTGCGACCATTGAACACCAGTCAGACATATTGGCTGTGTAGCTTACTTTAGCAAGGGAAAGAGCACCTTCTAGAGCATTGCTAGAACCTGTATGATTGCTCTGATTAGAAATGAATTGAGCCTCAAGAATATCATTCTCGCAGACTTTGGTCTCGAAGGAGATTTTCACTTTTATTCCTGTTTTAACTCCAGTCCTTTTGATTGCATCAACATTCTCCTGGTCAAGATAATCTGTTAAGAACAAAGTTCCCATCACATCAATTTCGCCCCTCACATTGGTACCATAGTCTTGAAATGGACTCCCCTTTGAAGTCCTAGAGAAAGTAAGCATTCTTTCCACTTTGTCTTGTCTGTCTCTAAGTTTCATCAAGTCAGAAAATGCTTCTCGCTGCAAACGCTTCAAGATTTCAATCTGAAAATTATATCATGGCAAGAGTTGTAAAGCCCCATCAGACGGCTTGTTACCTATGAAAGCAACAAATCTGTCAAACATCAATTTCCACGCCATGACATCTAAAGCCATTCAGCGTTTATAGACGCCACACTAGGCAATGGTAGGCAAAAAGTCACATAGCCCTAAGCAATATAATCATTCAATGGGAAGATAAGTTTTTTGACAACAATCCATTTCATTTTTTACACTTCAACATCTAATCCTGCATTTTATTTTATTTTTGTAAAAGTGGCATCTTGTTATTCCCTTACACAAGTCTTAATACAAACCCTTATGAAGATTGTCTTAATTAGTGAACAAAATGCTGTACATACATAGAGTTTGTATGATAAATTATCACGCTAGTAGGTACTTTGAGGACTATGATAAGTGGCAAAAACAGTCAGTTTATGCTAAAGCATTTATCGTTGTTGCTTGGTAGATGGTTTGTACTCATCTATTGAAAAAAAGAGCCAATTACTCACATCGACCCACGGACAATACAAGGGTCTAAATGATTATGTTCAAAGCTTAAAAACATACATCAACTTCGTTGAAAGCCTAATTGACATCCCAAATCCCTTAGACAAGGACCTAAATGATCATATTCAAATTTTAACATAAGCACGAAACATTGATACCACAGAAAAAAAAAAAATCCTTACAAACAACAGGGAAGCTACCATACTCAAATACTTACATCTTTCAACAAAGAATGTCTCAAAATTGTCCACCCAACAACATAGCCAATAAAGAATATAAACGTAGACCGGCTTAAATGATAATGTCCGCATAAAATTGGCCAAAACAAGAGCAATTCAAGCAATTAAGATCGAAATTGACACAATCAAAGCAAAAATAACTAAAGACATTTGTAAGTTCGCATACCATAAGCAGGAAACAAGATCAAATTCAGCATTTTACAACATTGCAGCATCAAATTGGAGAAATTAATTAATAAGGCCTATTAATAAACAAAAATATGTATGTCAACTAGCTCAGATGATGATTCCCGCGTATAATTGGCCGAAACAAGAACAATTAAAGCAATTAAGATCAAATTTGACACAATCAAAGAAAAATTACAAAACAAATTTGTAAATTCGCATATATAAGCTGGAAACAATACCAAATTCAGCATTTTACAAAATTGCAGCATCAAATTGGAGAAAATAATAAGGCGTATTATTAAACTGAATTGATAAAAAAGTACCGGATTTTGACGGGACTTATTCTGCCGGCGGCGAGAAACGCCGGAGATAAAATCTTGGCCGGATTTTGCAAATGATTTTAAATTATCGACAATCGAAGCAATTGGGTCCATTTGGAAAACCCTAACCCTAAAAATAACAGGGTTTGAAGAGTTGATTGGAAGTAAAAATGGTGTAATTTTTCGAATTCAAACTCCGTTGCGAGTCGTACGATTGAATAAATGTTGAATGAGGCAGGAGAGAGAAAAGAAGTGATGAATGCAGAGTGATGGACTGATAGGTTGATTAAGGCCCATTTTCATGGGCTTTTGTCTAGTACAAGAGAGTTCTTTTTTCTTTCCTTTTATTCGTTACTTCTTTATTATTAGTTTTTGTACCTCTTTTTTCATGTGCCATTGCCATACATCATAAGCTTTTCAACTATTGCTTTGATCTTTGGCTAAAGTTTTATAATTATGTGCTTATTTTAATCATACTTTTTACCAATATACGAAGTATAAAAAACATATGTTGTTATGAAAAATATTTGTATATTAGTTTTCATGTATATTTTCATTAAATTAATTATTTAGACTTCTTAATAGTATATAATTACAAATATTAATGGTCAAAGTTATGCATTTGCATGTGTTGTAAATATGGAAGAAATCTAAAGCGATAGTATAAAAGATGACAAGATCGAAAAATTGATCTTACAAACAAAGGAACAAAACAGTGTGTCGTGATGCAAATCACTGACTTGAAAACGAAATACCGGCGCAACCGCGGCGCTCAATTGTATTCGCCGTCACGTTCCATAAGGTTAACATACCAATTCCACACAAAGGCAATTTTGGGGGGAAGGTTGGAGTCTAGTATCTTATGCCCAAAGAGAGATGTGTTTAAGCTATTGTATTTTATTATTTTCAAGTGTGTAAATAAGAAAATTAAGTCTTACATTTATAGAGAAGGATGGAAAAACATAGAAAATCATAGAAGAATCTCAAGTATCAATGAGGGGTGAATAAATCAAAATTAAGATGAATATTTAATCACCATAATCATCTTCTTAAATGTAGGGTTATAAGGAATCAAAAGAGAACAAGAAAGGAATCCAAGAAGAAGGCAAAAAGACGCTTAAGAACTCGGTATCCCACTTGCCCGGACTGGGCAAGACCACGCCCGATCGTGCGAGCAAGCCCAGCCAAATGTGGCTTCTCACGCCCGACCAGGCGAGCTTGCCCAGTCTGCCTGAGCAAATGATATTTCTCATTTTTCTTGAAAAATAGTTTCTACCTTCTTCCGCCCTACCACGTCGGAATTGCCCTGGCAGCCAAGGCAAGCAAGAAAATGGAAAATACTCCTTTAAACTTGTTTTTTTTTCCTACCTTTAACACAATAGCATGTAGGGATGTCAGTTGGGCAGATCAAGTAGGAGACTCACCCTAATGGGCGGGGATGGATCCCGATTTATTGGTGGTGGGGCAGGGATGGGGATAAAAACCATACCCACCATGGGTAATGGGACGGGATGGATACTAGGTTGTACCCGCCCTGCCTGACCCTTCTCACCCCATCCTCATCCCATACCCACAACTATATATTTTAAAAAAATAAATATACAATCATAGAATAGCTGGACTATACCTAATATCATGAAAATTTCATAAAAATATATGAACACAGTAAATAAAATGAAGATTTGGAATAAGAAGAATAAACACGTAAAAAAATTGAACACGTTAAAAAAATATGAACATTTAATATATTAAAAATAAACATGATTTTCATATATTCATTCAGGTTCAAATTCATTGTATATAGTTATTAACAAAAAATAAAGATAAATAAATCGTTAAGATATTTTAATTATTTATGTACTAAATGTTCATTTTTAGTGTACAAAATGTTCATTTTATACAAAGTTTGTTTAAATTTAAAGTACTTTGTGTACATTTTTTTAATAGAAATTATACAAAAGTTTAATTGTAGTTAACTCTTCAAAATTTGAATGTTCACCTTAAAATTAATCTTGGTTCATCATATAGACAATATCGGCCTTTTGACCCTCAGAACTAGAACTACAACTACATCTGAGCTCTCCTTGAATTGAAAGTTTTTATGTTTTTTCTTCAAGTGCAATTACTAGATATATTAAGGAGATAGTAAGTTCATTCTAGACGTGATCAATGATCAAATAGTCCAAAGCCCAATAGAATGATTCCTACAAGGTCACACAAAGGTGATGGATTGAACAAAATAAAGAAGCCGATTATTGGTCCTCATGGACTCACCAGCCATATGGGATTAGAGAGGGACTAGTTTGGGCTTGGTGTGGACTCTAATTTTACATGTGATGTATAAATATAAATAGAGGTCTTGCCTACGGTTTGCATAAAACACTTAAGCAGTCAATCGAGAATTGATATGCAAGCAACCAAACCCTAAAGCCTCACGCACTCACTCTCTCTTCTCCCCTCACGTCCTTATACAGTGGTGGTGCGTATGGTGCATGTTGGTGGTCATGGTTGTTCGTAGCCCGGTTTTCTCCTCCCCTCTCGTAGAAGGTGGTTCGCAATTTTCGTGACTGACTATTTAGCAATAGTGGAGGTTCAATCCTAACCCGTGGACTAAGTAGAGGAGTAACTCTTGGAGCTCTTATTAATATTTTCCCTTCATTGTAGTCAATCATTTGTGGAAAATCAAGCGTTAAAGGTATGAATTATGTGATTTTTTATATGTTATGTTTGTAGATCTTATTTAAGTGCGAATGAATATGATTCGTGGAATTCCGCAATATGGTACTGTAGACACCTAAAAATGTCTCCCGAAAACCAAATTCGATGATGAACAACCTTTCACCGCCATTACTGGTCAGGTAAAGTATTTAATCTTTAGAGTTCTTAAATTCATGTTTAATCCAATATATATCATAAACCAACCTAATTCTTAGCCTATTTGTTTAATTTACCCAAACCATAACTTACTTAGTTACTTTCCACTTTTCGTGTTCACGTCACAAAACCAAGATTAACTGATATTGTGGCCCTATAATGCTGATCCAAATATTATTTGGTTGGATAGGCCTTTCAATAATCTTTCCAAATATATATCATAAGCCCAATTCCGATTTAAAATGAAGAAGATTGTAGGCGTCGCTCGATGTGCGCTTACGTTAAAACATGTGTGAATATGCTTGACACTCATAGGACGTGGGAATTGACATAATACGATTAGGGATAAGGAAAGTAGGGAGCCACCAACAAGTTTTTAAGGAACTTGTAAACCATTCACGGATCATAAGGCAACCACGAATAAGGGACAACGATAGGCAACAACGATTGACCCGTGAAGGTTACACCCCATTCATAATCCATGAGATTACTAACTCCATATAGTTCAGAACCACGAAAGGAGGATCTGGGATGATGGTACGAAGTGAGTCATGGAGTCACATTCGCCCGTATTGGCCTCTACTCGATTCTTATAGTGAAAAGTGATTCCTGCGATCTCAAAGGCATACAAACAAAATATTCAACTCGCTCCAAACTAATATTATGCTAAATTGGTTGAATATTAATGCAACATATAATTCTATAATATCGTGATTACTTGATTAAAACAAGATTAAAAAGGAACCTAAACTGGTCGTCCAAATTATCTTATTAGTCGTGATTTTCAATTACATATTCCCTTTAAACATGAAATATGATGATCATAACAATAATAGAATAAACATTAATATTGAAAGCAATTTAACAATAATTCCAACAATATAAAATCGTTAGAAAAATAATAGAAATAAAAGGAACATAATTCTTACTTTGATTCTGTTTGCTTGCAACTATAAAATATTAAACGAGTTAGTAACTTCAAGGTAATAATAATAAAACAATAATTAAATTAAATTAAATTAAGTTGAGTTGATTTGGGGCCAAACCCTCAAACAGTTCTACCTTTCACGCCTTGGCTTAAGGACGGAACCACGAGTAAAGTACGGACTCCTTGGAGTGCTTGAAGAAGGAATTTTGAAAGAAGGAGGGTAGGGTGGTGTTTAGGCTAGAGCATAGATGAAAGAAAAATAGAGAATTAATTGATGCCCCGTACATCAGAAATGAGGGGGTATTTATATAAAAAAATGTGCTGAGGGATCACACGGAACCCTAAAAAGATAAAAACCCTAAAAAAGTATACCGCAACACGGCAAAGTGTACCGTGACACGGGAAATATTTAGTGAACGGGGGAGAAAACGCGTTAAGGGTTTACGCGGAAAGGACACGGAAACCCCCGTGTCACAGCAGGTGGCCCGTGTCACGGGGAATCCCACCGTCAGACGGGACAGTTTCCCGTGACACAGTAGACAGCTCCCGTGACTCGGGAGTCTGTGGTCCATTTTTCCGTCTAAATTCATTTTTAACCCTAATTTCGCTCAGCATTATTTTAAGTGCCGATTGATAATTTCGGGCCATTTTCGATTTATTATTATTATTTGGGCTAAAATAAGAAAATAATATAAATAAAAGGTTTGGGCCAAAATAAATAATAAAACAATAAAATAAAAAAGGGTTTGGGCTGAAATTAAAAACTATGCTTTGACTAAACATCAAGACTGATCCATGGACTATTCAAAAATTGAATTTAATTAAATACGATTTATTAAGCACTCTCGGGATTAAATACTGAACCCGACCAATAGTGGCGGTGAAAGGTTGTTTATCATCGGATTTGGTTTTGGGGAGACATTTTTAGGTGTCTACAGAAGCCCCACTTTGACTGAGTTTGTAGAAACGTCAGTTTTGAAAACGATAGTCAAAGTAGCCGATATGGACGGAGAATGAATTAAGACGTTCTGCGATCCTAAATCACTCTATATACGCCGATACTTGCAGAAAAATGTTAATTCCACATATAAAAGAGTAAAAGGATAGAATACGTATCTGGCACTAGTGTATCGGTGATAAATGAGTTTGGAAACGCTTTCCATGCCTGAGGAAAGCCGACAGATGTATTTGGTAGCTTTCTAAGCCTGAAGAAATCTACCAGATGATACTTTACATGCTTGAGGAAAGCCGACATATGAATTTGGCGGTTTTCTATGCTTGAAGAAATCCACCGGATAATACTTTCCATGCTTGAGGAAAGTCGACAGATGATGAGATTGCAAGTCTCTGTGTATAAAGAACCTTGCGCCGTGAAATGATGGTGGTTCGATTGTTCCCGAACGTGGGCTGTAGTTGGTTCGCTTATCCTTGAACGTGGGATGTAGATGGTCCGCTTTTCCCCGGACGTGGGCTGTAAATGGCCCGCTTGTCCCCGGACGTGAGCTGTAGATGGTCCGCTTGTCCCCGGACGTGGGCTGGTTGCAAATGGTCCGCTTGTCCCCGGACGTGGGCTGTAGATGGTCCGCTTTTCCCCGGACGTGGGCTGGTTGTAAATGGTCCTCTTGTCCCCAGACGTAGGCTGTAAATGGTCCACTTGTCCCCGGACGTGGGCTATA